TAAAAATTATACGTTAATAAATCCTGTCTGCTACATACATAGGCGCATCAGTGACAGGTATTGTAAACAACTTAAATAGAAACTAAACGTTAAACATACGAGTAAAAACACATTTGCCCATACTAAATGGAGGCTAAAAAGTATACACACGATCCAACCGAGTATCATACACGCGTCATTATACACGAGATATTCTACAACGAGACTCTCTCACCGTGGACCAATCGGCTACGTTTCAAATACTTTCTTCCTTCTTTTACATATATTTTTTTTTTTCTTTTTTTTTCTTTGTTTTTTTTTCTTTTTTGCCCCCTCATTTTCTTTCCTCAGACGACGTTTCTTCTTAGCAGGAGACATCAAGTTCGTATCAAGTTCGTAAAGAAACGATTTTGTTTTTTTCCTTTCTTTTCTTGTTTCACTCTATTGTTCGCTTTCTTCGTATAATAATAATCTCGAGAAAAACAATTCTCGAGCATTTTGTACGCGAAGAAGCAATATAGAAGCAATATATAAAATACACGATAAGGGAGGGCGCGTATATAAGAGCAGATCTCTATGGCTTCTCCACGTGATTTATTTTTTCTTCTTTCCTTCTTTTTTTTGAATTAATATTTGTATGTGCTTTGTTCCATTCATATATTCTTTTTTATCGACTTGACCTTTCCTCTTGCTATCTAATTCGTCTTTTTGTTTATCGTTCAGTTTATTACATTAGGCATAATTGCAATATGCTGTAGAATGTAGTAGGCTGAAAGTAAGTCGATGAACACTTAAATCTCAGTCGCCTGAACTCAATGAGTTAAACGCCAGAAATCGCGTTTTTTTTCAGGAAGAAAGTATTTGAGTACACCTTGGTCTGAGATCGAATGACTAGCATTTCCGGTTGTTGTTTGCGCCACTGTTCTGGATACGCAAGCGGTCCTGGCGGCGTGGCCGCTTGCCTTTTACACTGAACACCTCCCTCAGTTTGTTACTCCTCTCCAAACGGCCTCTCTTCAACGCTTGGGTAGACCTCTTCTCGAAAACCTGCGCATAATTTCAATTTACAATTTACAATCGAGATTACCCTCTTTATAACAAATATATATACAATAATTCCTCTGAAAACTTCTCCTCTCCTCTCCCCTTTTCTTTTTCTTCCTTTTTCCTATCATACATATATATTCCGTTCCGTTAAAACTCTACAATTTTCTACACTTTTCTCCTTGTTTCTGAATATCACCGCTGTTCTATTTTTAACTACACGCAGATACTCGGAGAACAAGCTGACGACAGAGAAGAGGAGGAGGAGACAGAGTATTTCATCGCAGCGTCTCCCGACCGGATTTAAACTGTATTTATAAACTGTAATTATAGTTTAAATTAAAAAAAATACGAAAGAGAAAAATCCCTCACTTTCTGCGAAGCCGACCGAAGCTGAGCTATCCTCTTCTCGGTTCGGGCGCGATCAACGGCAGGTCTTC